AAATTGAAATCAAGTTTTGATATCAACATCAAACTGAAATCATAATTTGATTTCAGTTTACACATTGACAAATTTGATACCAAATTTTGTTTTCATTTTGCTCTACATTTGCTCTTTAAAAATATGTTATAACAGAAAAAATGGATTGCAAATTTGGTTTTCAGTTTGCTCTCACTGATAGCAGAAATAGTTTTCAATGTGATGTCACAGGAAGATATGTTTGCTCTCAATTTTGATATTTTAACCGTTAAAACGACCAAAACGACAACAACCTGAGTAATCATTATCAGCGAAATCACAACATCAAATTTAGATTTCAATTTGATCTCAGACTTTGCTCGGGCTTCCTTCGCAAGGAAAGTAAAGCCGTGGGTCTCCGGTCCATGAGTTGATGGGTCAATAGGCAGATTCCAGGTGTGGAAGCTGCCTTCCTGGCGTCGGTAGCGTTGGTACTCAGTACGGAAAACAAGATCGACGGAAAACAAATCAAGAAAAAAAAAATGCACATGGATTCGCAAAATAACAAAAAGCGTCTGCGTGACTACCAGGGTTGTTAATCGATAAATTATCGTCATCGCCGTTGACGATAACGTTTGTTATCGTTAACGACGATGACGATAACGTCTGCAAACGTTAACGTGATCGGCGATGACGATAATTACTGTATGTTATCGAGTCGACAACGTCTGATAAAACATAGTGGGCGTGAAGTTTTATTTATATGACTGAACATCAACAGGCGTTATTTGCCCCAATGATGTAACTGAAACTAAACATGAAAAGTACTAAAACAAAACATCAATAAGTACATAGATAGTCATCTCGTAGAAAAGGAACATTACTAAACAAACTAAACTGATCTAGAAAAAAACGAACTAAACCTCCGGGGGGAAGCAGCTGGCGAGTCAGGTCAAAATCAAACAGTGCGGAGACCCTATTGAAGAGTCTCTATAAACCACCGATTGTACCGAACATGCTATAATTGGTTCGCTGTATGGGCAGGCGCAGCATTGAATTATTCCGTAGGGTTCGGGGTTGAACATTGATGTCAATTTGCTCAAGGAGGGCCCTGTCCTCGGTGCGTCCTAGTAAAATATACGCAATTAGCAATGCCCTTGCTGTATCTCTTCTGACCGACAGGCGCTCCAGATGGATCAGTTGCAAACGACTTTCGTAGCTAGGCAATCGGAAGGGATCCGTCCACGGCAGTTTACTTAGCGCATATCTCAGGAACCGTCGCTGAACAGACTCAACTCTTTCGATACCGTTGTTGTAGTGAGGAGTCCAGACAACCGAGCAGTATTCTAATATGGAGCGAGACAAGAAGCAGTACAACGATTTAAGGCAGTAGATATCCGTGAAGTGTTTGGCAATCCTGAAGATAAACCCTAGAATTCTGGAAGCTTTGTCGACGGCGTGCGAGATGTGCTGCTTAAAAGAGAGTTTTGTATCCAGAATCACGCCTAGGTCCTTAATTTGGCTGACGCGCTCAATTTCAGTGCCTAACATACTTGAACATAATAGTCTCTGTCTTGCGCGAAAAAGAGATAACCGAGCATTTGGACGGGTTAACCTCCATACGATTCAGAATACACCAATGAGCAAAAGTATTCAGCTGACGTTGAAGGAAGCCACAGTCTTCAATTGAGTGAATTCGGAGGAAGAGTTTAAGGTCATCGTGGTCCCTCAATTACCAGATTCACGTCGTTGAAATAAATCAGGAAAATCAGCGGTCCCAGGTGACTACCCTGGGGTATGCCGGATGTGGCAGCGAACGTACGGGACTGGTGATCACCAATGATAACAGTAAGATAGCGATCGGTGAGGTACGACTGAAACCATTGCAAAAGGCAGCTGTGGATACCAAGCCTGTCCAGTTTAGCGATTGATATGCGGTGATTCAATTTATCGAAGGCAGCAGATAAGTCAGTATAAATGACATCCGTCTGAGCACGATCCGACATACTGTTAGAGATGTAGGAAGTAAGGCACAGCAAGTTAGTGGCAGTGGAGCGACCAGCCATGAAACCATGCTGGTCGATACTAATATACGGCTTACAGTGAGCGAGTAACGGTTCCATAACAACGAGTTCGAACAATTTGTTACGTTTAATGTAAGATGCAGTTTAGAATTTCACATTAGTGAGCAAAAATACGATGAAAATTGCACTCAGTGTAGTAATACGGCTATTATAGCAAGTGGTCCAAACCCCTTCCTGGCTTGAAAACAAAAGCGCACAAAAAATTGCCTTGCTCACCGCTCGTGTTTTGTGGACCGTACACGATTGCTTTTATAGACCATAATAGTATTGTCAATACATTCAATATTGACGTCAATACATCGGTATTGACAATATTTCTGTATTCACATCATCAATATTAATGTCAATAATTCCCCTTCGCGTCAATATATTGATACGTGTGGGGTTTGCTTTTGACACCGACAAACGAGACCGTTTTCCGTTCGAGACTACACGAAAGGAGGGGAAAAAAGCACGCACACATACGAGGACGCCGCCGCTGCCGCCGCGGTCGTGAGAAGAAAAAACGGCAGTAAAAAAGTTATTGCTAGTGGAACCGCCATTGTGGCAGCGCCGAGCGCATCGCGTGAGCGAAAAGTTCCACCGAAATCCGCGAGTGCCAACAAAGATCGAGTGGAAATAGACCCGGTGGAAGGAGGAAAATCGGCTAGACAAGTCCCTCACATTCCGGAGCCGGAGGAACGATCTCCAACACCGCGGACCGACGAAAAACGACCGTAAAGATTGGTTACATATCGGGCTTGTTTAGTCGAGGAAACCAGAGAGAAATAAAGGTAATTTGAACGATGACAAGATGGCGGAGGGGCAGCACGCTTTGGTCAAGTTCAATCGGCATCAGCGATACGACGGTCGCAACACGGTCGTTAGGAATCGGTCGAAAGACAAACCGGCTGGAAGACAAGTTTACACACCGGTTGGGAAACGGACGCCTCGTCAGGAACGCAACGTAGTCGAAGGTAATTCACGTAATAAAAGATGGCGAAGATGGTGCTAACGTGTCCTTTCGTGATTAGGCACGCTTCTAAATCGGCCTGATTTGACATCAGCGTTCAGCCGGCTGCCACACGGACCGTTCGGAAGACAACTGGAAGATATCAGAAGTGGAACGAGAAAGAAGCGTCCCAATTCGAGGGTAAGTTCCACCACGCAAGGATTATCCTTGCTTTTTTGTTCCTATTGCTGAGTCGTCTACGCAAGTGGTCGCAATTCATTCGACGAATTCTGACAGGACGGCGGCCGAAGACGGAAGCTTCCGCCGGCCAGAAACGGGGGTCCGTGTAATGGCAAACAATCCTACGTTCGGCGTGTTGTCTAAGCAACGGAGATCCATGAGACGTCAAGTGTTTGGGACGTTCGGCGAGTTGCCAGTAGCACGGTCAGCGATCACCAAGTCGACGGTCGTAAGCGGAAGTGTGGAACGACGGGTGTTCGTGTACGTTCGGCGAATCGCCGGTCAGACGTCGACTGCAACACGGTGCGTCGTGACATCCGTACGTCGACGAGGTACACCGGAGCTGCGAGGCCGTGCAGTAAACCTTTCGGTGGCGACATCGACGATGAAGAGGACAAATATGCTGTGAGTACGTTCCTGTTTACGGGATGGGCGGACGCTTTTGCGACGTCGAAGAGAAGAAGATCTATGGCTGCTTAGCGAGTAGTGGATAGGAGCGAAAGAGCAATAAGGAATAAGAAGAACCAGGAGCTAGAAAGGAGATATGGGCGTTATGAAGGGATGAATCAATCATAAGTCAAAATGAGATTCAACCCTGTTTACTTTTGTTGGTGCACATGCCTGTAAGTGTTTGTGATTTTGTCCGCTTTGGTAGTTTTGCTGTTTTGGCTCTACCGCTACCGGAGTAACGTAACAAATTTAGCAACAGCGCTAAGCGAAGTAATGCCACGGTAGTAACCAACGTCCTGTTTGTTGCCTTTTTTATGTACTGGAAACATGTGCGCTAGCTTCCAACAGGATGGGAAAACACCGACGTCCACAGACCATTGAAATAAGTGCAGCAGTGGAGACAACAAACTGTCCAAGTGCGTTTTGAGAAACGCCGATGGAATTCCGTCAGGACCCGGATTGTACGACGACTTGAGTTTCGAGGAAGCCCTGAAAAACATCTCGGGATTGATGTCAATTCTGCTCATGGTTTGGCCAGAGAGTGGTACGTAACTGGCAGCCAGTCGGGCATGGTCATCACTCAGTTTCTCGTCCGTGAAGACACTAGCAAATTTTTCAGAGAACAGCTGACAGATATCTTGCGTAGATGAGGCCACGTTACCATTATGTGTCATAGACGACTGCTTGGGACGTGACTTAAGCTTTCTCTGCAATCCACGTCGATACTGAAGAAAGCACCGTTTTGCAACTCGTTTGTATGCGTGATTGATCCTGACATAGTGACGTTGAAGGGATAGTGTGCGGTGCGGTTTCTACGAGAGTTTTTTTTTTGTATTCAGTTAACGGTAAACTGTCAGGCAAAAATATGTCTGGTGATAAGTGGCAGAAAATACCATGGAAAAACTACGAAAAGTTTTTCCAATTCAAAAATCAAAAATCCTCAAAAAACTTTGAAGTAGTTTGTTCTATTTGCTAGCCTGATTTGACGGTTTTAAGCTGCGGATACTCTTTTGCCACGAATATGAAGTCCCACTTGCTGGTAAGTAAACAATGCAGTACCAAAGTTGAAGCAATTACTTGCTATAGAGGTTTTCATTTACCCCTATCCATTATCCCTAAGTTCACACACAAATATCACTTAACGCTATATTAAGGACAAACTCTGTAGTGTGTACATAATTTTGATTTAGGTGATTTATATTGATGTTAACCACTATCATGTTTGTTTTAGAAGCACGTTCGGGTAGTTAGTGTTTTAAATAAATACTTTTGAATCTTGCATGTTTCAATTAACCGCCATCATACATAAAGTTATAAAACCTTTATCCATATTTTAGATATGCAAAGCAGCAAATCAATTTGGAGAGCAGAAGCTTCAAATTCGCCTAACAATTAACTCGGAATTATCAGCGCACATCATTCCACAGATACAAGTCGTCAATACGGGCAGTACAGCAAAATTTAATTGCAGTATCGTCGGTTCGGAAATCGGGAAAATTGAGTGGTTTCATAACGGACGTGCTCTAACGGATAACGACCGCTTTGGAAATGATTTCGAAAGGTAATACATTTAACCAAATGTTGTGGTACTCTACTCGGGTATTTTACGAGGAGAGAGTAATTTATTGTGCTATGTCGGAGATACATCGGTATGAACATATTTAAAACAAATTGGCACCATGCCCAATCACAGGTTGCAAAAACTGAAAACTTAAGGCAATGTGTGTAAATTTGACCAAAAACTTATTTTCTGATACTCCAAGAGAAACTCCGACACAGACGCATCTCATGATGTGGTTTGTTATACATATATTTACATCTTTTCTCCATTCTTTCAGAGTCAGTATCATATCAAGTACCGTCCTGAAAATTGATAATATTGGCAAGGAAGACCGTGGCGTTTACCAGTGTATTGTGTCAAATGCGAGGAGTAGTGCAGAGGCTAGTGCAGAACTGAATATTGGAGGTAGGTGTCTTCTTATAAGATTAGAAGTGATAATAATTGATGGTTTTATAGAAAAATACAGTACCCCATGAGAGTTAAACCATCAATTTTTTTTTATAATTACTTTTTTTGTACAGGCTAAATCGAATAAACTTTAAAGAGCCAAGTTATCATTTTCGTTAAAGTTAAACTATCATTAGACAAAAATTTTTTTACTGCTAACCCTTTATAAGGCCGTGAAAACTATGCAACCAACTCATACTGTAATAAAACTTAAATTTCACATTCATATGAATGTGATACAGATAAACAATGTTTTGTTTAATACCTAAAATCTAAGATCTAATCTAAATACAAACGCAGCCAGTACGAGAAAGCACCCTGGAAAATGTTTAGTTTAGATGACAACTTATCATTTTTCTTGTCAATATTGATGTTTGCAGAATATCCGAGACATGAAACAAACAAACATTAAAACGTCCAAACCTACTGCGGTGTATTTTCCGCAAAGATGATTCTGCCAAAAAATCTCCCTAAAAATCAGTTTCTATATGCAAAACATGGCGTTTGTTGCAGTTCAACCTCCCATGATTCTCAAAGTAGGTAAATAATCATTTAGAATGTTCTCCTACTACCGTAATGGGATATCTTTTATAATGCGGATATCTTTTATAATGCGGATATCTTTGATAGTAGAATATAATGATTGGAACTCTTCTCGGAATGTCCTTGAAACTTTCCTTTCAATTATCGAGGAAATTTTTTTGAGCAATACATAGAATTTCTTTGAAATATGCCTTAGAATTGTCTTCTGTATTTGTGACAGTTCAATGAAAAAAAAATGGTTCATTGATTATACTTAAGTCGAAAATCCGAACTTTTACGATACTATATTAAAATTGAAAATATATGATATTCTCTGCACATTGATATACAACTTCTAGTTGTCTGGGAATATTTTTAACACTCGAAATTTGAAAAACATTTCAAATCTTCATAATTAATCTATTATCTGAGTAACGAGGTTTCACAGATTTGTCCGTGTTCGAGCAATATGGAAGTGAATTCAGCTCTAAGAAATAATGTAAAAGAGGTTTAAGCACAACTTTTAATGTTTTGTGATAAATGTAAAAATATTTCGACATTTATTCTGGCTTACTTTTATGCATTTTTCAATAAAGCCAAGGTTAAAAAAAATTATTGAATCATTAGATTTTTTTAACTAGTTTGTTTATTTACAAGGCTCAACTAATTAGATTATTGTTAGATATATTGTTTTAATTATAAGATAAATAAGAGGCAAAGTATGTGTTTGACACATTAAATCTGTCAATTATGCTATCTGAGAGCAGTAATCAGCGATTTAATCAAGTTTCACTCACTTACTCTCTCACTCACTCAGCGATCATAAAATTGTGACTGTCAGAAAGTGATCTTGACAGATTTTATGTGCCATTGTCAATCAATTACTTTGCAATCTTTTCTTGTAACTTATATGTAAAATATGTGATTGTACCATTTTATTATTACTTAATTCAAAAAACATGAATTCGCAACCTCAGGTAAAGGTTAGAACGAGGTAAACAAAAAGTTTATGTTTTCCATAGTAATTTCCATTTAAACTTCAAAAGGGCCATCGCCACCAAGTAACATCAAATTTTAGGAGAGTTACCAGGACCTGGTTTAGAAACAATTGAGTGGGCGGAGCAAAATAGATATTTTCTACTGAATATTTTTGACATTTTACGAGATGAACTAGCCATTGTGCTAAAAGTCTAGCTAATAATAATAAAAAAAAACAAAAATATGTTTTATATCGTTACTATGCACCATGATAAATGCAAATTATAGTTTTGCCTTTTTTTTTAATAATAAATTATTATAATTTTTTTTTTGTTAATTACTTTATTCGTACAGGCTCTCAATCGAATAAACTTTACAGAGCCAACTAAGCATTTGGGTTATACATTATTAATGTCTTTCATCTAATATTAATGGGTTTGAACCGATTACTCGCGGTCCTCTCGAGGCTAGTGGATGACAATTGTATGGATTGGGAGAAGGAGAAGGAGATTTGGAATATGATTAATGATTAAAAAATTTCACCATTTAAAAAACATGTACTTAATACTATCAACGTTTTATCAACTGTGTAATTATACAATTATTTCATAAACTAATATACAAAAAAAATAATACAAACACACACACAAAATACAAACTAATCACAAGATTAATCAAACTTACAATCTAAGGTTAATATTCTTCAAGAAAACATGTATGAGTTTCATATGCATAATAAAATGAAATAGTAATTCTTATTTTTAGAGACCCCTCCGGAAATCATATACAGCTTTAAAGAGCAAACTGTGCATCCTGCTGCATTTGTGTCTCTCAAATGTATGGCTTCTGGATCACCACATCCGCAGTTCACTTGGATGCTCGATTACCAACCAATTGTATCTTCAGTTCATCGGTACACGTTCGATCAGTTTATCGATGGAAACGGTCATGTTACAACTCATTTAAACATTACACATGTCAACGTAGATGACGGCGGACTATATACGTGTATTGCATCAAATCCGATGGCAAGCGCATCCCAAAAGGCTCGTCTTAACGTCTATGGTAAGTAAATTAAAACGAGGTACCGTGAAATGAGTGATGATTACATCCAATCAAGCAATAACATAATATTTTCGTACATTTTTTCTGATTGAATTGTATACCTTATCGATGTGAAGTGAATTACCGTTATGCTTGTTGTTCACATCGATAACTGAGCTATTTTCGTTGAAACCAGGCCGCATAACGTCTATAAAATATAAATTTTTGCGCTTGATTAGTCGAAAATGAGAATTCCATTTTCCTCAGATCGAATTGATGGCTCTGGACCGTTTGCAGAAAAGTTGAATGTTTTAGCAATTATGGACGTTTTGATCATGTTAAATCTCTAAATTCTACTATGGTCAAGTTTTGAACCTACCACATCATGCCTTTGGCGCTACTGTATATGGACGATCAAATGTAGAATACTTGGTAGTCACATCATAGTGCTGTCAAAACCTTAGCTTTTTCATTGATCCATTCAGGTACTCAAAAAGGCGGATCGTGATGAAATCAGTTTCTGTTGTAACCATTGGCGTAACTACGGGAAGGCTATTACTCCCCAATAATTAAGAAAAAATCTTAATTATAAGTACATATTTTCTCTTCACATCAAAATTGTTCGCTAATTCTCTTATTGAGAAGTTCGAAAAATAAATTAAGTCCCCCCTAAAATGTTTCGTTACTTACCCAATGGTTGTAGCCCTTTTGTGAAAACTAATCATACAAACTGGAGAAAACTTCGAATCTTACGAAAGTGACACCACATCTCGTTGCTTATTTTGAATCGATTGGATCTGCGACCGTCTGCAGTCTGCCGGTTGAAAGCAACAATCGTTAATTTCAGTCAATGGGAGTTTCTAAAGACGTCTAATCTTTTTGGAGGAAGTAATTGACATGAGGCCTCCCGCTGTCGATTGTTTAAGGATGCTGTGGAAGCACTTGAACAAATATTGAAGGTGGAGTGTCCGGTGTACTATCAAAACACTGATATTACAGTTGTAAAATATATAAGATAGCTGAGCCCAATGACGATTCGGAATAACTTGATCTTCTCCGATTTGCATGCAACTTTACATGATTGTTTGTTATGGGCAATGATTCATATTTTTGCTAAGATACGAACCTTGTAAAATTTTTAAAATAGCATCTTTCAAATTATTACAAAAATGACACATCTTATCAAAAAATAAATTGGAACCTTATATATTTTAAAATGTTCTTGTCCGCTTTTCGATACTTTTTTTTAAAGCTATTGAAAAATACAAAATTTTGGAATGTTCATAACCATGCATACACGGGAAAAAATCTGATCTCCGAAATGAGACAAATGACTCATGATTTCATGAACACAGCGTATTTTCATGTTATGAAAATACACCATGAATAATATTCATGATATCATGACCAACTTTTCCGTAACGCAGCAAACATTCCCAAAATCATGAATCATCCGAGTTGAAATCATGAGCTAATTCATGGGTTTAACTTTTAACCAAAAATTGTAAAAAGAATAAAATAAAGCGTCAGAATGGATTCGAACCAAGAACCTTGAGATCATTAAACCCATACTTTGACCACTAGACTATCAGTACTTGAATAAAATGGAAGACAAAAGGTGTGTAACAGATATCTATGTAGTGTGGTTTATGAACACGGTTTGCCAAGTACGTGTAACGCTTGTAGCGGTCTTGATTCCACTGCATTATGAAATCATGAATTTCCATGACAAAATCATGAATCATTGTTACAATTTCATGGGATGGCAAGTTTTTTCATTTCATGATTTTTTATTCATGAAAATGGAATCGGATTTGTTTCCGTGTACTTGAAAACTGACAGAAATCGTAGAACACCAACTTTTGGTCAAATTTTTGAACATTTTGTAAGCTCGTTTTTTCTGTATTTTTTCTCAGAAAACTTGAGCTCTGAGCATAAACTTTATCATTACTTAAAATTACTAAAAACATATTTTTGGATATATTTTTCCCAGTAAAATATTAGTTTTCTCAACAACCTTGTCTCTATTATCATTTCGATCAGAAAAGCCGTTACCTTGCTGCAAGATTTGGAAAAAAAATAAAAACTGCAACTTTGGAAATTTTACAAAATGGCCGAATTTCAGCAAAAATGTGAATCATTGTCCATAACAAACAATTATGCGAACAATTATGTTTCAGGCAAATCGGAGAAGGTCGAGTTTTTCCGATTCATCAATTGGCTTTCACAGCAAATGTCAATGTAAAAACATGTAAATTAAAAAAAATTAACATGAAGGTTTACATACCAAAAGCTGTAAAATTAAATGCACCATTTCATTACATGCTCCTTTTTAATTTTTTTAAACAGATTACGTCGCATGTCATTTTAAATATTGTTTAGTGTGTGGGATTGCTCAGCAGTAAAACATCACCAAAACCGGTACAGTTCCAAATTTTTAACATTGCTTACACCCTCGTAAATCAGGCTGAAAAAGATCAATGAAACCGGATGTAGTTAGTATTGCATTATTTATCAAAACTACGTAACTAACTTTACATGAATCTGCAGTTAAGTGGTTCGCTGAAAAATCCCAAAGGTTCGTGACTCCAATGGTATTTTAAAACTGCCAGATGCGGGTACTTCACTATCAGAATCAGAAAAGAAGTTCCCAGAAGCAAATCAATCACACTATCAACACTATAGAAACGTCACAAGATAAATTGTTAGAACTAGAACCCAACTGCCTTCAGCATGGTCTTGCTTTAAAGCTGCGCCTTTACCGACTGAGCCAAGGGAGGCCCCACATTTGAATGTCTTCCATGGTATTTCTTATGAAAAAGAGAGCTTCTCTGTTAGAGTTGACCACTTCAGTACCAAAACAAGTGCTATCCCTGCATATCCAAAAGGAACCAACACTTGCTAATAAACATGATTATACTTTTGAAAACGAGTATAAGAAAATCTTTTTGAGTAAACAAGTATAATTAGAATATGGAAATCAAGATAGTCCAGTATTGCAAGCCGTTTCCTAATAAACTGTGTTCATTAAAGCTTCGTAAATTATCCAAAAAAGTGATTAAAAAACTAAAGTTTATGGAGTGCAAAATTAATTTGAATATATTTTTATCAATCTGTGAGACATCCCAACAAACAATTTTAGCTGCAGATTAGCTTATACAGCCAAAATTTGCCTTATATAGCTATTTTTTGCCTGTATAAGCTAAGCTGCAGCTAAAATTGTTTGTTGGGATGTCGATTGAATTTAAACACAATTGAACCCCAGTAACAAGATGTGCAACCGTCAGCCATGAACATCACGGAATCACATATCGGCATGGCGTTGAGGAAATTCCATCGACTCATACAACTTTTTTTTTGTAAATTTTTCTCTACAACCAACTGTTTCTTTACTATTTTTTTAAAATAATGTGTGTGCGAATACACATAGGCTCTTTTAAAAAAATAGTCTTGACTCAAAATGGTTTTCTCACCTGCGGAAAATATGTGGTCTATCATACTGAAAATATGTGCCAAGTGTCATCTAGATCGAAGATAGTCGAGTTCGGTGACCGACCGTTTTGGTGTGGAATGTCCATGCGATTGAGTAAGTGGGTCACTCAAGCGTGCTGCTTACAAGTACAGCTTGTCTCCAAACAGAGACAAGTTGATATGAAATGCTTCATCGTTGAATGGGCATGGGCTATTGAGCATCAAGGAAAAACAATGACGTTTCAACTTCGAATTAAAAATGTGAAAACGGTCAAAGAAACACCTAATTATCTTTATTTTTGCCGCAAGAAGCTATGAGTTGAAAAGTATTCGAAAAGTTCCTAGATTAAAGTTAAATATCTTAAATATAAAAAATCAAAATTTTGTTCATAACATTTGTTTCATGTATTCTTTCGTTGTATTTATTCATAACACTAGAATCACTTGTACATATCGAATAAAATATACAATAGAACTCAAGTATATATTCTTGAAAGGTTTCGCAGAGAAATATAAACCACACGCTTTGACGTTGATTGCGTGATTCGCTTCAGAAAATTAATTATTTTATCAGGCAATGTAATTAGCTCATCTAATCTATCGAATGTGTCTGATAGTATTTTTTCTCAGCTTTCTAATGGTGGCCTTTGATTAAAATCGGTGGTTGCGTACACGGTGAAAAACACATTTTTCTGATAAAATTAAAGATGGCCGCCAAAACTTTTTTCACTCCAAATGAAAGCTGCTACCTTCCTCTTTATAATAACGAGCTGTTTACAAGGGATTTCATAGCAAATTTTCGAGGAATAATATGATAAAACTAAATCTTGAAGAATGTGGGCGTCTGCGTGAAATACCTGTATAAAGAAAGAGAGAAGGTGTAACCAGTGGTGTGTCTATCTGTCTAAGATTGTTGAGATTGTCGCGAATTTAATGTTGCGATTTAAATGTTATGAATGCCAGGAAAGGATTCAAATATTAGTACCAACCACTCACTGGACAGCACGCAACCACTCCACGAAGCTCCGCTACTCACAGCCAGATGCCGCTGACAGCAGGATTGGGAGGCCATCGGGAGGTGGTGTAAAGGGGGCCATGATGGGCTGAAGGAAAATGGATCAACGATCGAGAGCGCTAGGAAATCACCCGCCATCGTTGCTAGCCAATTACCTGGCAAAAGTCAAAAGTGGTAGTCGAAAACCAAGCTAGACAAACCCAAAACGAATGTGATATACATCATAGTGAAAGATCGTTATTCGAAATAAAGTTATTAGTCTGCACGAGTCTTGAGGCGTGAAACTCGATCAGTAGTGGAGGAGGAGCCTACCTACTGAAATATCCAAGTAAAAACCCCTTCAAGCCAAACCCGAATTGTTCTCATCACTAACCGCCATCATGGTATCCTATTGTGCCCACAGGACCCCGTAGTTTACCGTTAACATTAATCTACGGCGCGGTCAGACCCCGTAGTGTTCGTTGTGTTCGACCTACTGTGGTCAAACCCGTGTAAATACAACCGTATTCCGATCCATCCTAGATCCAGCCGCGTTTACAAGTCCGTGTTCATCGCCATTGTGGATCTGCCTTGAGCGTCGTGGACACGTTATACCGTTCGTGAACGGCTCGGCAAACGGTATCGTGGGAGCACCCTTCGGAAGAGAGGAGAGTGAAGTGTTAAGAGGTGAATCGACTGGGCAACCCACAGTCGAAACCGAGCAAAAGAAAGGTGAAAGTGAAGGTGAAGGTGTAGCGGAACAGGGGGCCTCCATCGACAACGGAAGACGAAGGAAGAACTAGTGAAGGCGAAGGTAGGAGATAGCCGATAAGAAAGTGGGAAAGTTAGGGAAATAAACGAGACCTGTGTGAAAGTTCATCGGGGTGTGTTAAAAGTATTTGAGTGTTTCCTTGGCCGCGATAGTCACACGTGTATGCCAACCATGAGGCAGTGTAGAGGGGGGTCTCATTAGTGCTGGGCATGAAGTACCCCAACTGTTACAAAGGTTAAGACATTTCCTTTTAATTCCACTACCTTATTTGCTTATCCTTGACCGATACGCGTATTTCGTCTACAATGTGCAGACTTCATCAGTGTCTTGTACTATTACTGGACTCGATTCGAATTACGAAATACACGTCACGTAGGATACGTAGTTAAGGTATTGGAATTAAATGGAAATTATTAGTGATAAAACTGTCAAGAATAGGTTAAAATTCAACTTTTCTGAAAACTATTTAGCCCCTTGGCAAACGATCGGTCCATACATTCGAGCTGAGGAAAAGGATATTCTCATTTTTTTCACAATTTTCGACCAATCAAGCAAATTTTAATTGTCGAACAAATTTTAATGTTCAAAGACCTTGTGTCAATTGCGGCCTAGTTTCAACGAGAATTACTCAACTTTACATTGTGACAAATTTATACGTGACGCTACAACGGCTTTTTACAGTTTTTGTTATGTAACTGAATAAAAAGTAACCTCTAAATTTTATTACAGATTTGGAAAGTGCGTTAAATTTCCCATTAGTATTGATCAAGAGTTTCTGAGTTCCAAAAGTTTTTTGATATGTTGTTAAGTAGTGTAGTTGAGAAGTGCAAAACGTTTCAACGTCAATAACCAAATCTTTTTGAGCATTTCAAATCATAAACTCTTGAACAATTCTTATTTAAAATTTATCTTATGTCCTAATCTGCTTTGGGCTGCTTTTCTTTTTTTTTTCAGTTACAGTACAAAAACTGTCAAAAAGTCAAGCAAAATAGTAAATACATCCCGGTAGCCGTATTAACGAGGAATAAATTGTTTGCGGTAGATTATGTCTATGGGAAAGCTATTTTTATTTATTTTAGTAATCTATTATTTTTTTACAAAGTTAACAATTAATTAACAGCGAGTTAATCGTGGACCGTGTGCCGACTACAGAACTGGTCAAACTAGCCTTGACATTTTACTGTTGGTACTTGGAAATAATCTATGACTAAATAAATAAATAAATAGATCTATAGTTGAAGATGCTAATTTCAAATAACAGACTGTAGTGGTAATTTTTATACGATAGATGGAGTAGATGAAAGCATAGAGTTGATAGTTCCGTTAGAGTACGGCAGTGTGAAGATTGTATATAGATATTAGACAAGCGAGCTAGGACAACTTTTAAGGAAGGTACAAATCGGGTTTTTCATCTCTCTTTACCAAACTGGTGAGGATGGTGAGGGGTGTACCCCCCCCCGCCACCACTGGCAAAAAGAGATGAAAACCGACCCGCTCAAGTACCTACTGTGTGTTTGAAACAGTTCTACCGATTTTTTACCGCACTTCAGTTGTTATTTGAAGGAAGGCATCCAGTCGTAGGTTTGGAAATTGCAACTATTGTTTACCCCTACCACGATATGTGCTCCTGTCATCGTCGACAATAGATCTAGCCGGCGCCGGTGGTGTAGTGGTAAGCGTGACTGCTTTCTCACCCCAATGGGTCTGGGTTCAATCCCAGCCGAGGTTGGTGGGATTTTTCTGAGGCATAAAAATCTCTGGTCACGTCTTCCTTCGGAAGGGAAGTAAAGCCGTTGGTCCCGGCCCATGCGTGTTGATGAATGGGTGCGATATCCTACGCAGGTGTGGAAGCTGCCTTCCTGCACATTCGATTGTCGTCAATGGATGGCAATCGATGTCCGTCGGTCATTGGCACTAGATTGCGGAACAGAGACCGACGTTAAATTAAGGAAAGAAGAAATAAATAGATCTATAAATGCTGTTCATGAATAGAAAATCGTTCTCGTATTCGTGAGCATGAGCCATGAACAATAGTTCATGGTGATTATTGGACTGTAGACCATAAACCATGGGTTCACAATGTACGCTTTCAGAAACGGATTGCTTGTTTTTTTTTTTTTTTTTAGTAGCTTTCTAAACTTGTCATTCCAATGAAATTGTTAACAATATTTCTATCAATAGGACCCCCGTATGTAAGAGCTATTGGCTCAATCAAAGCGATATCTGGAGAATACAAAGAAATGTTATGCCCATTTTCCGGTTATCCAATTGAACAAATAAGATGGATGCGTAATGGACTGAATATAAGCTCAAGTAAAAGAACACATAACGGTGGGGCATTGACGTTGACTTACATTAATCATATTCTTCAGATTCCAGATTCACGGTGGCTGATATAAACCATGGAGGAACATTGCGAATCCATAAAGTGGACGCAATGCAAGATAAAGGAGCTTTTACTTGTGTCGTTACTAGCCCAAACGGTGATGAAGCTCGAAGAGAAATACAACTGCTTGTTAATAGTAAGTACAACGAGGTCCGGAGGAACAACGAAGTAAGAAGATGGGGCTTATTACGGATGTCAACTTGTCATCACGGTGAAGTGATTCCCATTTGATTTGTACGGCAATCACGGCTCTTATTATGAGTATCACTTCCTTATCACCTTATGCCTGATAGTATGATATTGTTGCGATTTCGTCACTTCTGAACATATTTTTAATGACACATGTTTCAAATAATCAGTAATTATTTTTAGTTTTTATAGCTCTATTTTTTTTAAATATTTAAGGTGTAACAATTTTCAGGACTTACACCACAAACTACACACTTAATCACGGTTTCCCTGTTCAGCATTTTTTTACAGTTCTACACTTCAAACATTTAAAAAATTAACGAAAATTCAGCTTTTCTTAATCAAACTACTGTTGGTAAGTTGCTTTTGCTGCTTCATACTGAGTACGGTAATTACAATTGCAAGAAAGATATGATTTATGCAAGGAGGGGCCATGAAACAGTCAATTGCTTAAAATATGATTCTAATGTTGGAAGCGAGGCAGAAACTTTGCTTCTAAGAGGGTCTTGTATGTTGAACATATTTAATATGCCACAATGTCCGAAAAAGCTAGCAAATCTCGTTCGGACTTGTATTTGTTTTGAGAAGTTTGAGGAGCAGCTTTTTTATTTTTCTCATCTTTGTTGGGAATGCAAAAAATTCTCGCTGCAGCCAGGGATTGGATCAGCAAGAGCCTTCGGTTTTGCTTTTCTTCCCCATTACCCTGGAAATTTCGCAATCTTTTCAGGGGAGGGGCATTTTATTTTTGAGGATTCGTCCGTTTTTAAACGTGCCTTAACCAACCTAGAATCACCCTCATCGGATGAGTGAGAGTTCGATTCTTCAGCTGACAAAATCGAAAATTGATTTTCATCTTGGACGGCTGATGCAGCCATCACCATTTTTTTAAACGTCAATCAGTGTAGACCGTTTTAAAATAGTGCTGTTGCCTTACATGCTATTTTAAAACATTCGTTTAATTTGAAATTGTCAATCAATGTATACTGCATATGCAAACATATAGGAAATAAAAATTGTTTTAAACTTAACGATTTCTGCATATAACTGCTTGGAGCGTCCAGAGATTTGACGCTGCACTTTACCGGAGTGCTGCTAGTACATTGGGCACGCCTGCAAAGGTTGACGATTCTCGCCGCAGTAAGCACACTTCAATGATTCTTTGTGGTTTTCTCCACATTTCCAACCGCTACGAACAAGGAACTAAGCAACGGAAATATCACCACGACCCGAACGAACACAAACCCTATTTACACCAGACCTAACGCAACGTAAACGGACCAACCGTAATCATGAACCCCTTAACTGAAACGAGACAGGAACAAAACAAAAAACTCTGTAAAAATATGTTTCAAAGGAGTTGCCATCTGGAACTTCCACCCCTACCTTTTTGAGAGGCTCCCCTTTGGAGGTTTTAGAGACGAACCAGCCTAGGGTAGAGTCGGTGTATGAGTCACGCCAAGAGGAAAACAGTGAAACTAGCAGCCCGGTTACAAAATGATAATGGCTGTCCACGAGACACTTGCGATCAGCTGACTTTTTTGTTTACCAAGAACTTTTGACAGATCACAGTAGAACTGACAGTTCACTCTCATATGAATTTCTGCTTTGTTTATGTCGTTCCAAAGTTTATAAACGTTCCAGATTTAAGTTCTTCTCTGTGTGATGGTGCAGATATCACCATACGTATAATAAGCTATTTTCCTCAGATGCATCTTGTTTAATTGTAACTATTTTTTAGGATTATAATGGCAATATAACGGAAGTATGTGGTTCATTGAAAACAGTTGACAGAAAAAAAAACAATTTGCGCTCTCCTGCAGTTCACAGGAAACTATCGGATCAACGATGACTACGTCTAATGGAAACACAGAGTCATCAATCCGAGATGAAAAGCTATCCAGATCTTCAAAACCTATGTAAATAACAAAATTTTCTATGAGACTGTCATAGATAATAAGTAAAACACTTGAATATTTTCTAATTTCTTATAGCGAATTCGTTTATTATCGGGTTTAACACCAGTTCCAACCCAGTGCGAAACCGAACTTTTTGTCAGTGTGAACCTCAACCTGAGCTAGGTTTTAAAAACAAACGAGCAAACTGACGTTTGTCAGAAAACAAGCAGACCCAATCTTGATACCCGATCCAGGTTGGAACTGAATAATAAACGAATTCGCTATTAGTCTCATCCGAACTATTCGTTGTCTACGTCAGCAGAAACACTGTCACATCAAAACTATAAAACAGCTTCGACAAAAACTCAGGCGGACAAACTCAAAGCCTGCAGGGGCAGAATCAAAACTGTTCAACCCAGAACAGGTCAGGCTTTTGCGAGGTGATCTGAAACAAGTGCAGCGATGGTCTGATGAGGCTATTATAGTCGATTAACGATTTGCTTGCGGGGTTAATGGGTACAATTTTCTTCGAAACAAGAAACATTACCCAATTCCATCGATTCGTACCCACAAGAAGTACTTGCAGGATGTGCATTTCGATACTGGCATCCTCCACGAAGTGTTTGGGCTGTTGAAAAGAAAAGTTCAGTGTATGTCTCTAGCAGATCGTGACTGTGGTGTGGTCTTTGATGAAATGGCTATTGACCAAAGTTTTTCATACTGTAATAATAATTTAAAAAAATGTTTGGTAACACGACAATCACTGGGCAAACCAGAAAAGCGACTCATGGCCTCATCCTGATGTGAGTAGTAGTTCACAGTAGATGGAAACAAGTCGTGGCGTATCACTTCACTGGAAACACCATTCCTGAGATTTTTTGAAAACGCTGGTCATCGACGTCATTCAGAGCGCAGAAACCGTAGGACTCAAGGTGCACTTTGTCACCACAGATTGTGGACCCAACAACATCCGCATGTGGAACAATTTTGATAAGTTCAATTTTGATTAAGTGCCGATAAAATCGAAATTTTGCCAGACGCCACCCATGTTTTTAAAAGCTGCGTGCAAGGATGGGTTGAAACCGTTTTATTTACTTTCCTGATGAGATTGTTACCGAAAACGGCTTAACCTCTAACGTCGCCAATATTTTTCATTTGAAAAAGTGTGTAGAGTTTGAAAAAAGGCAAAAGTTTGGAAATGGCGTCTCGACTGACGTTCAGAGAAGTTGATTTCATGAACGGAAACAAACTAGACGCAATGAAGGTGTGTAATTCTTACAAATTAGTAAACCATGATGTATAAGCTGCCCTACGCTTCATGAGCGCGGAATTGAACAGTTCGGGACTTCTGACTTCAGCGTTTTTCATCGAGTTTGTGTGGAAATTGTTCAAGTTGATGACTTTAAAATGTGAGCTGTTCCTCAGCGTGTCTAATACCACAGACAGACATACAAATTAGTACCGTTGTTCTTCTTTAATCCAGTACCTCAAAACGTACAATTTGTGGTACTAGCTTAAAGTAGTACAACGGTAGTACAACAGTGAACTTTGTATGTCTGTACAAGGTATAATACAATCCTCTACCAAGAAGGAGCGTTGCACCATTGGTGGTGTTAGCACTGTAGCCTACAGTTTTTATGCTATGTTTATATGTGCATTGACGACACGTATGCGTTAAAAAATCTTATGTGAATAATCATTAATGAAACTTGAATCTTTCATGATTAGCTTGCTTAATTTATAAATTAATATAAAAAATATTTAAATCCTACATGTACGCGCTTGTTGAATATTTATCACGATTATTTTGCCGTGCAACAAATCAAACATCTATGTGGACGGAGCATGATAATCGAGCCAAAGAACCAACAACTTTGGCTTCAAGTAAAATGTTGGTGGATGACGTTTCTGCCACCGGAGTGGTCTAATACTGACACTTACAACCAAGCAATAGGTTTTCTAAAGTCATACAGAATTTTTATATAGGGTAGAGAACTACTTCGGCCTAATCGCCCATTTTGGGCCTATCGAGCAGAAAACTTCAAATAAATCCATGATTTCAGAGTTAACAAGTCAATTATGCGTTTGGTATGATACTTTAGTTAATAAGCTACCGAACGAAGTCAATGCGGACGCGTGGTATGAAGGTTTGCACCCATTATTCCCAAAAACAAAAGAAGCGCTCCGACCGAAACAATTTTTATCTTCATCCGATAGGCCGAAGTAAATTCAATGGCGTTTCAATTGCGTTTCAATGCGTTAGGCCGAGTTTAAAATCCGTAGGCCGAGTTTGGCGTCAAGAAGCAGTGTTGGACTTTTGACAATATCTCAACGATTGGTTTCTTGTTTTCAAATCTTACGGTACGTACGGAAAGGTAAATAAATTTGGAAGCCATCAGTAATAATAATATTCCGTTTGAAGCTAAACTGAAGTGGATTAAGAAATACTAAGTGCGGGTTATGCTTAATAGGCCGGAAATGGGATAGTTAACCCTATGGTTGTAAGGTTGGTGAAAGCAAGAGATGGAAACCTTGGCAAGCATCTACCATTCTGTGCACAAACTCAATTCTTAGTAAGCGAGCAGTATTCCTATCTCTGCAAAGCAAGGTTCACGCAGGATTGCGGGGAGAAATTTTTTTTCGATGCTACTGTTTAAGCAAAAACATCCCACAGCTTTACAATTTAAGAATAATCTTAAGTTGCTTTCAGTGTCTCAATTCATGGCTGAAATTCTATCATCTTCATATGAACCAGACTTGACGGAAGATATCCGTAAAATGAAATCAACCACGAGTCAAGCGGACTCAAACTCAAAATCGGAAGATAATAATCTGGTAAATTTATCAAATAATATTTCATTACTAATAATCTTAAAAACTAAATCTCCCCTGGTGTTGCAGTTGGATCATGTGGAGTTCGAGTATTCGGATGAAATTTTTAATTACCGTGTGTTCGATAATTCCAAACGTAACAAGTGTACAATATTGCAGGATACATACTCAGAAGCGATACCAAAAATTATACTGTTTGTGAGGCATGCTTTTCACCATG